TTTTCATTCCCACACATTTTCTCCTGACTTTCCTCCATTATCCTTCGAGGGTTCGGAAAATGTAGGTGCAGTCTTGTTCATAGTCGCCGACCAAACATCAATACCTCGGGGGATTTCCCTGTTGGCTCCCTCAGTGTCGTGCGGTAAGAGAACAAGAGACGATCCAACTTAGTTTGTAGACTTCCATGAGTCTGTTTAAAGAGACCTTGCTTAACAGTCTGGACTTCATGTACTGCTATTCCATTCGACACCAGATGGTACAGACCAGGCTTAATGTGCAGCATGCCGTAGTTACTCAGAACGTGTTGAAACGCTTCACTGGTGAATGGGGTTCCGTTGTCTGTGTATACCGTCTCTTAAGTACCGAAAAGGGCGAATATTGAGCTCATTTGTGCAACTGCTATTGTGGAACTTGCATGCAGAACTGGATGCACTTCTACCCATTTGGAAGGGACATCAATCAAAAGTAGACACCTCATCCCATTGATTGTGCTAAAGTAGTCCGCGTGTACCCGCTGCCAGGGCTTCTCCGGCCAACGCCATGGACATATCGGTCCGGGAGATTTTTGCTTTTGGTATTTTTGACATTGTTCGTAGTTTTTCAGCAGCCGCTCTATATCGTGGTCCCTTTTGGGCCACCAACAGTAAACAGGTACCAGCGCCTTCATCCTGTTCACGCCGGAGTGTGCGTCATGCAGCTCTCTCAGCAACTGGGGCCGTAGTTCTTCTGGTGGAGCTATGCACAAGCCTCGAACTATACAGCCGTCGTATAGACTCAACTAATGACTCCGACAGGCGAATGGTTTCAGTTCGTCTGACGTGCTTGTAGGCCATCTGGTCATCAAGAACCATTTCACCATCGACAACACAGGGTCTCGGTCATTAAGGCGCCGCACCAAGTCACTCCGGATGGATGACTTTTCAAGGTGTTGTCTCAAATTGATAAACTCCATGGGTCCACTATTTTGCGCCATGCTGCTGCGCGAGGCGACTAAGTGCATTGGCAATGGCATTACTTGTCCGATTACATAATGACGTATGCAGTTATAGGAGCGCAAAAGTAGTGCTCGCCATTGCGTTCGAGGCGAAGACATCTGTTGGATTCCTTTCTCCAAACCCACAAGCAAAAGAGGTGGTTTGTGGTCAATGTGGATATCAAACTGTCTTCCCCCGACTTACTGGCAGAAATGTTTGACAGCAAAATAATCTCGAAGGCCTTCCTGTCCAGTTGGGATTAATTCATTTCGGCGGGTTGCAGGGTACGAGAAGCATAAGCGATTAAACAAGGAGAACCGTCACCTGTCCGGCGGCAAAAGACTGCGCCTGCTCTGCGTGGGGAAGCACTACATTGCAACAAATAGAGGCCGGCTAGGATCGAAATGCACGAGATACGGCAAGGTGCCGAGCACTATTTTTGCATCTGTGAAGGCCTTTTTTATCAGGACCCTAAGTGCATCACTCCCGTTGTGCAACTGTTTGCACAAGGGTGCAAATACTGTTTCGGAGTCAGGTAAGAAGCGACGAGAGTGATAAAACATCCCTTAAAACGATCGGAGTTTAGCTTCATTCTTGGGTTTAGGTGCGACAAGGATGGGATTTACTTTATCTTCTAACATGTATAATCTGTTATTATCGAGGCGATAAGCAAGGTAACGAACGGAAGCTGCGAAAATCCTGCTCTTGGACTACTTCAGTTAGAGTCCACTCAGTTGTAGACCTTCGAGCACAGTTGATAGCGTTTGTAAATGTTCAGAAGTTGTACGTCCTGTAAGCAGAATGTCGTCAAGATAGGCGAAAGTGAAAGAAAATTCTTTGCTCAGGTTGACAATGATTCTTTGGAATATCGCTGGGGCCGAAGTGATTGGGAAGGACAGCCCTTTGTACTGCAATAGACCCATGTGTGTACTTATCGTAGCGCATAAGGGAGAGGTCTCATCTAACACAATTTGTAAGTATGCGTGACTGAGGTCGATCTGTGTAAACTTTGATTGCCTGCCAGCGGAGCATACAGATACTCTAACCGAGGTAAGGGATATTTGTCCAGAATCAAGCAATCATTAACAGTTAGTTTGTAGTCACCACAAATACGCACAAATCCATCCGGCTTCAGGATTAGAACTAACGGGACTCCCCACTCACTGTATTGTACTGGCTCGGTTATTCTTGCTGATAGCAATATCTTTACCTCGTTTTCCACCTTTGATCTCAGGAAATTAGGTAGGGTGCGTGTCCGGAAAAAGCGGGGCTGAGTTCTCGGTCGTAATTTGATACTAACCTGATTTTTGTTCAATTTTCTAAGTTTGTCATCAAAAAGGTCAGCATATTTGTTAAGCACATCCCCCAAGCGCTGGTTAATGGATCCAAGCTTCACTCTAGCGTGGTCAGGAAGCTGTTAATCTAGTTATGCCTGAGTAAGTTTGGGCAATTATTCGCCACAACACATGTCTGCAAGGTCCGCTTCTCCCCATGGTAATTAACACGAACAGCGCATGTTCTCATGACTGGTATTGGCTGCCCAGTGTACGTACGCAAAGTTGATTCACAGGGGAGAACTTGGGTAATCTTTGAACTGAGGTAGCACTGATTATGGTAACTGAGGCACCGGTACCAACATCAATATTAACTAACTGGCCTTCTATTTCCAGTTGCACAGTGTACGGTGAGTGAAGGCTACAGCTGCTCGACGTTGCGTTCCAGATCGTGTTTAGCTGGTCTTTGTCTGAAAACGGAAGACCTTTACGCGCTTGCTGGGAAAACGTGATGTCACAGCTGTGTAAGTTTTAGGTCAGCAAACTCGGGCCGACTACCCTAATTTTTCACATTGCCTGCAGATGCTCTGTTTATGACAACATACCTCTGCCGATAAATGCTGACTTCACATCGGTAACAGGTATAAGGCAATTCAGGCCGTCTCAGTGTAACACATTTTCGGTCAATTACTTGGATTGTGTCTGTATGAGATTGCTGGGAAAATGCTGCTGTTAATGGACATTCTCCAACTGCCGAACGATACTGCAGGCCTTCTCCCAACTCATAGCCGTCTCATCTTCCGACAACAAATTTTTACGAGCCTGTTCCTTACGGATACCGGCTATAAAGCATTGTAAAGCCATCGCTTCTTCGAACTTCGTAACTGAGATTTTACAATACTTTGCAATGAAATCAATGACACTTTCCTCAGGGTTTTGACGCAAGGTCGAAAAAGAATATCGCGCAGTCCGTGTTCAGTCGTGAACAACCCATAACCGGCTGAGGACCTCTAGCGCACCGATGACTGTATCCTCAATGACATGGTGGGCAACAAAATGTCTTTGGTCTTCATTCTTGAGGAGAGGTGGCCAATCGATGACTTGCTCGAGAGGAATGAAGGCCCTCACTTCGAAGCTGGCCTCAGCTGGAGCGTCTCGGCTCCCTGGTTGGGGTCCGAAAGACGATGAACACGTTTGGCTAGATACATTTGTTGATATGGCTAGGAGCCGACCTCAGTGGCGTTCGTGCTGTGAGTTTCTTTGCCCCACCCCATCTCTCTCCAACCACGATCTCGTTATTTAGCATTTTACGGTTTTGCATAGTCAATTTTTTGCTGCATAGTAGCCGGCAGATAGCTTACTGGAACGATGCCCATCCGTTACCGGTAGCTCAGCTGGTTTGCACATTTTGCATTTTATTCCCTTTTATGTATTGCGGCACAGTAGCTGAGGTGTTTCCCACCTATAGCTAACTTGTACAGTGTGTGTGGCCTTCATTCTTCAGAAATTGTCTCAATAATTTAATTCTGTGGTTCTCTGAGAGTACCGTGTTTAGCTGCAGGGCGGGCAGTAGCTCCAAATGATGCAAAAAAGTGCGCTTCCAGAGGTTCCAGGTAGCCATGGTTGGTTTCTCAGAAGGAATATTCATCAGTAGTGTAGAAATGTGCAAGATAGAAGTAGTTTAACGTCGTCGTCAGGAGATTAAGTATGGTCCTTAGCCGATGAACGGGACAGAATGCGCAAGCGTAGTATAGAACCGACTTACTAAAAGCTTCCTGCGTTACAATGGCTAGAAAAGCCAGAAAGAAAAGCTAATGAAATAAGGAAAGTAAGACAACGTCACTGTCAATCACTCTTGTGGGTGCCTGTATTCACGAATCCATACCCAAGTGCATACGAGACAATGTACACCCGAAAGGCAGCGGGTCTAGGACATGGTCAGTTCACAGATTCGTGCGGATTGGTGTCCTGGCTCGTAGCTAGGTGAGGGGCGTAACCCAACTCCCACCCAGCGGTCGCCACGAGGAGGCGTCTAGGACATGCGCCCACTGCACAGCATTAGCAGCAGTTAGTGGACCATCGGTCAAGTTCTAGTTACCATAAGCCTCAGCGTACCATAGGCTGTCTCGCCGTGGTGTGAACATAATAGCCGGTGAACAGGCGGACCCGGAAACTATCCTTGTGTTTCAGTTTACAGCGGTCCTCAACAAGGAGATGCATGTGCAAATATTAGGTAGAAATGAGCCAATTTTCCAATTGAATGTAACCATTGACGATTCTGAGAGGAATGTGGTCACTAATTATTAGACTGCACGCGGATGGTCACCCTTGCGTTTTAGTATAAAGTCCACGCCATCCTTCCTTTCTTACATTCCAAACCATTCAAGATATGATATGCAAACTATCCAACAATTACGTGTTTCCTACTCTCGTATCTGGAATGCTTGTCAAAAGCGTGTATGATACTGTGTTAGCTTTGGTGCAAACCTCCGGATGAATTAAAGTATGAAAACCACAAGGTACTTATTTTGCTAAAGTCATCGCAGGACGCCATGACTGGTAGGCTAGGTCTTGAATGTATGTATGGTCAGTTAGGTATGCCTTCAGACCTGATTTGTCCATTTTCTAAACGTTTCTCATTAGTAGGATAAGTTTGTCTTAGTGCTGGAGACAGGCCGACACATCACGATGGTATACCGCTGTTGATAATGATTACTCAAGGGAAGGTTTATACTGAGTTTAGGCCCACACCTTTCTTTCTCTTCCTCAGTCAATTCGTCTTCTCTTTCCACACCGGTAGCAAGGGCAAGCTCTGCTTTCAACCGGTTCACTTCCTGTTTCAGACGATTGATAATTAGTTGTGGGTCATGTTCCTCGTTCAAGACTACGTCGTTCTTGATTAGAGCCACTCGTTGAGCAAAACGGCAGGTTGAAATAGTTTCCTTTGGAATGGAAAACATAGTAAAAACTTGGTAAGCGGATTATAGTGAGTAACGCAGAGCAGAGAGCACTGATAAACCTCCACTATTAATTCAAGGCATCTATGCTAATAAGCAAGTATAAGTTAAAGTCATACTCCATCTCTCTTACCAATTTGATTGAAAAACGTAAGTGTTTTCATAGCCGACGTCGTTGTCTGTTGGTTGACGTTACATAATTGTATTAGGTCTTTTAGGATGAAAACACCACACACCGTCAATTGATGCAACTTGATCGCAACAGTTAACTAAGAGGCTGTCATTCAAATTTAACCATACGGCCTAGCTAGTTGGAATGTCTGTCTTCCCTCCTGTATACCAGTCTGGGGACGCTATTGTGACTTCGGCTATGTTAGATCTCACGTAATTCAACGTCAAAAGACTCATGGTTTTGCCTTACTTCCCCTATACCACATGATCCAGTCCATATAGGGTAACCAAGCAATGTGCACATGAGGACCAAACGGTGATTTCATCGGCAAGTGTTTTTTCTTGGACATTGGTCAAGAAGTACTCTTTTTACCTTCGGGATTTGCTAGGTGTTTCGGTTGCAATGTTTCAGTATTCCTGCGATGTCACATAGAAACAAGTGAAGAGATTGACGGGATTCTTTGACACGCTTCAAAGCAGCTCCTAATCTTGTCACTTCAGGAAGTCAAGAAACGGGAGAAGAGATGCTTCCAGTTCTATCGTCTATAAAATCAAAATCCCATGAAGTGAAACCGTAGCAAAACGGTATAATCTTAGGTAAATAATTTCTGTGTAACACTGCCGCGTCCTGCCAACAAGTTTGCACATGCTCTGGAACAACATCAACCAACTAACGACATATGGCTCAAAGTTAACTACTCGTTTAATACCTATAGTAATGTTGTTAACTATCCGTTACATCTGTCAGACAGATCCGACCCAAGGGTTGTGATTGGAAGCTACCTCGAAACTTGCCACCTTTACCACAACCTCAGCTGCCCATTGTAAATCTATCGGCAATCCTGGTTTTGCAATCTGAGTTTACTAGTTTGTAAATCAATTGCTAGGTTCGAATTCGTCTGTGAGACTCGGGTATAGCCCACGGATCTTATGACCCTAATCTGCTGGTAAGCACATCCAGGTTATCAAAAAAGCGGAAGGTACGTTGGCACTTACAAATGTGGCGAAGTGTCCCATCATAGCGACATAAAGTACAGACGTAGCCATATGCACTTATACCTTTTAACCAACTGAATAAAGCAACAATTTAAAGAAATGAACACAATCCCCTGAATGAGAGGCCTTCCTCAAAATTTATGTTCATAGGTTCATAGGTTCATAGGATTGTCGAGAGCAGAAGGAGAAATCCTTTGTCAGCTCCATCGCTTCCCGATCATTGTGTGGAGGTCGCGATTCGATGTTAAGCGGTAATCCACAAGGGACCTTGACAGCTACACTGGAAGCTGCAAGGACCCATCGTACTCAAAAGATAAGAGTCTAACATTCGCTTGAAACATTCCTCCGTCTGGGCATCGTCCACATACTTCGGCAAGTTATTCCAATCGTTGACTACGCGAGTTGATAGAGCGAGAGCAGGATGAATCCGAAGTCTTCTGGGTTTAAACAGTTTCCAGTTGTGGCCTCGAGTTGAACTGTTTGGATTGCATTGAAAGCATGCCTGCAGCTCTGTCCCCATCTCTCCTCTCAGGATGCGCCTGGTGAAAATCAGGTCACCGCGACGTCGGCGATAATCCAGGGTGAACAGATTCATCCGCTGAAGTCTCCGGGGATAAGGTAAGTCCCGTAACTCCAAGATGTATTTCGATCCACGCCGTTGGACCTTCTCAATGAGGTCACATTCGAACTTGGTGAGAGGGAATACGGCAGGTAATCCGTATTCGAGTATGGGGCGCACATGGGAAGTAAACAATAGTCGGAAGATATCCGGAGTCAAACGAGAGAAGGCTCGTCGTATGGCGTGGGACATCCTGTTGGCAGCAGCAACCCTTCGTAACGTGTCCTGTGTAGTCCGTAGATCAGATGACACCAACACGCCGAGGTCTTTTTCTAGGATTGAGGTTCTGAGCAACGTCCCACCGATGTGATACGTCCCGAAAGGCTCAGAAGCACCAATGGGAAGGACCGAGCGCTTATCGCGATTTATGGGCAATCGCCATTTGACTGACCACTCATGTAACATGTCAAGTGTAGCCTGTAATCGGTTTGCCTCGTCAAGACATGATACCTCCATCCACAATTTCAAGTCATCAGCGTAAATCAAGCAATCCAAATGAAGTTCCGCCGGGAGGATCTTGAAAAGTTCTGGGCCCAGGACCGATCCCTGTGGGACACCGCTAGTCATGAGCACGGGAGCGGAGTAAGTCTCGTTCACTTCGACTCGCATTGTCCGGTTATCCAAGAAATCAGCGGTCCAAGAGAGAACGTTCCCAGAAACTCCGGTTAATCGTAGTTTATAAAGGAGTCTTTCATGAGGAACCTTATCAAAGGCCTTGCTGAAGTCGACAAAAATAACATCCAGCCGTTTCCCAGCGTCTAATGATTTCGCCCATCTTTCACGGGCCACAAGCAGATTCGAAGAACAGGAGCGCGCCCGCCGAAAACCATGCTGCGCACAAGAGATGACGTTAAGGTTCTCGAGGTGGAAGAGAAGTGCCCGCTTGAGAATCCTCTCCATTACCTTGCACAATATTGACGTTAAACAGATAGGTCGATAGTTGGCAGGGTTTTGACGATCCCCTCCTTTGTGTATGGGTTTAACAATCCCCACTTTCCAAGCGATCGGGAGCCGTCCAACTTCAAAGGAATGTCGAAATATCCGGCAAACGGGAGCGGCAATGTAATCGGCCACAGTCCTGAGGAACAGCGGACGCAACCCATCAGGACCTGGCGAGGAGTTCGGATCTAATTCACGAATGCCTTTGGCAACGACATCAGCGCTCATTTCTACATGCTCCAACAAAGAATGGAGTATTGGCATCGCGTCACTGGGAAACGGCGTCTCCATCGAGTAAACAGACGAATATTGCATGACCAGGAGACTGGCTTTCGCAGCATCATCGTCAAGCAAACCCACATGAGCCAAGGAATACAGAGCAGGAATACCACTGCCTGCTCTGGTACTTCTCTTCACGTAAGAGAAGAGTGCAAAGGGCGTTGTCTTGGATTGCAAAGCCAAACCGAGTTCGTACTTTTGCCATTTCTCTCGTTTTTTCAAGTTGCAGATATTTCTGGCCCCTATATATTCCGAATAGTCAGACCCGGATTGCGTGAGCTTGAATCGGACCCACAGTTTCCGTCTTTTGTTCACTAGGCACCTCAGTTCTCGATCAATCCATGGAGGACCCCTGGCAAAAGGTCTTTTGTAGACAGGAACGACCTGCTCAACAAGCGAAATCATTTTGAAGTGCAAGAGGTTCCACTCATCGTCCAAATTCAGGGATTCGGGCATACTCCAGTCCACACTACTGGCAGCCGTTTGTAAGCGTTGGGGATCAACACGCCAGAAATTTCTGCGGAGGCGACCTTGGTTGTGGAGAGTAAGTCGTCGAATCCAGAGGAATGTAATGACACAGTGATCGCTTTTACCAATGGGGTGAAGAACGGCTAGGTAGGTGACATCTGATTGTGCCGGTGAGAGTACAAGGTCGAGGATATGGGGGGTTTGTCCTGCAATTATACGAGGAGGCGTTGTGACATGTTGGAATAAGTTACATTCGATAACCATCTCTAAAAGAGCGGAATCAAAAGCGTTTGAAGCGGGAACACAATGCAGTTGGTCCCAGTCGATACCCGGGGCATTAAAGTCACCCAGTAATAAACAGTCCTTGCCTCCACCATGCATTTTGATTGCGTCCAGCAGACAAGCTCTGGAACCCAATGGGGCCCTGAAGACTACACCGACCATGAGAGATCTGCATCCGTCATGAACACGGCACCAGAGAGTTTCGAAGTCGCCATCACTGCCACAGGTAGCTTCAACCAGATGGGCCTTGAAGCCCGTCTTCCAGTAGTGTATCACGCCTCCCCCAGGTCTCCCTCCATGGCGGTCTGCCCGGTAAAGTTGGTATCCAGGGATCTGCACCTCCGAGTCCAGGATATCCGAGGACAATCAGGTTTCGGTGAAAGCTATAAGATCCGGCCGATTCATGGAGGCAAAAAGCTGAATTTCGTCTAGTTTGTTTCTGAGACTGCGCACATTGGAAGAACTTACGCGCAGTCCATTCTTCAACTCTAACGCCCGGGCATTATAAGAAGTGGCCTCCAACGAGCTCTTGGCGTTTTTCGAACCACGCGAAAATCCACGATATGTAGGTCCGTCTCACCGTTATCTCGACGACATCTAAGTTCATCCACCGCTTTCTTCATTTTTACTGGGTCCTCCGGAGAGAGGTCTCGTAATACGAAAAATGGTTCTCCTTTAAGACGCGGAGCTCGTCGGAGAATGCGATGGACTTCATCATCGTTTTGACATACAATCTTCAAGGGACGGACCTTAGAGGAGTCCTCCTGTTTCTTGCCAAGGCGGAAAGCCGAGACGATGTTGAATCCTGGCTCACCTTCATCGAGCAGTAAGGAGATCATGCGTTTTAGAAACTCTTGATCATCCATAATCCTTTCAGCTGGAGTAGTTTTGGACGACTCAGGAGCATTTATGATGATTGGGCAACGACCACGTGAGGGTGATTTGTTGTTAACAGGGATCTGCGAATTGTGGTGAGGTGGACCCTCCTTAATCAGTTTTTCTAGCTGACCGACTCTATCCAGAACTAGCTTCAACTGCGATTGTGAAGACAATGGCTTGCTTTTCACCTTGACATCAGTCTTGCCCATACTTTCAGCCACTCGTACTGGCGAGGACAGGGGCGTACAATCTTTCGCTACAGATGCATAAGTCTTGGTATTTGGGGCTTTACCGTGGTCAACGTCCGTCGGCTTACCAGAGGGAGTAACGGGACCAGAAGTTGGTGATGAGA